AAATGACGAAAATCATGCTGATAGATTACGTCAACAAAGAGATCGTGATAGGTCACGTTCTCAAAATCGGCCAATAAATATCAATTCTGTAAATTTTAATGGTGCAGCATTTCAATATAACCCACAACTTGATTATTCATCTCACAAATACGTTGTCATTGGAAGTATCGATAAAATTTGCGGATTTTGTCAAGCATTGAAATTTAAAACTGAAACACCAGGCATGTGTTGCGCTGCAGGAAAAGTTCGTTTACCAGACATACAATATCCGCCCGAACCATTAGCTACATTATTATCCGGAACATCACCCGATTCCAAATATTTTCTTGAAAAAATTTCCACATATAATTCATCTTTTCAGATTACATCTTTTGGTGCTGGACAAATTATAACCGATAACTTCATGCCAACGTTCAAGGTAATACATCAACTTGAACGTTCAACAAGATTCCCTGACACATGTAATGAATCATTAGGTTTTATAGACTCTAATTATGGCTTTTTCCAGATTCAAGGGCAAGCATATCACCTAATAGGTTCATTACTACCACTACCCGATCAAGAGTCAAAATTTTTGCAAATTTATTTCATTAATGACAACGATGATGAGCTTGAAACACGATGTGCATTTTCCAGAAATATAAACAGAGTCATCATGAGAGAGTTACAAGATTTATTACACACACACAATGTTTTGGTGCAAAGTTTTAAAACAACATTCGAAAGATTGTCATCTGATAATCATAAAATCAAAATTGATGCAAATAAAACGCCTGCCGGCGACCATCGTGGAAGATACAATCAACCAACTTCAAGCAACGAGGTTGCAATTGTTATATCTGGTGATGATTTTCAACCAAGGGATATTGTTTTGCAAAGAAGAAATGATACACTACAACGTGTTAATGAAACGCATCGAAAATATGATGCATTGCAATATCCTCTTATGTTCTGTCGTGGTGAAGATGGTTATTCGATTGATATAAAACTAATAAATCCAACAAATGGTCAAGAAACAAATAAAACTGTAAGCGCAATGAATTATTATGCATACCGAATCATGATAAGAGGAAATCAAGAGAATCACATTTTAAAATGTCGTAAATTATTTCATCAGTACATTGTTGACATGTATGCGAAAATAGAAACAGAACGATTGAATTACATTAGATTCAACCAAAGAAAATTACGCTGTGACGAATACATACATTTACGAGATGCAATTAACAACGATACCAACGTGAATAACATTGGTCAAATGAAAATATTACCTTCATCGTATACAGGCAGTCCAAGGCATATGCATGAATACGCCCAAGATGCAATGTGTTATGTCAGAAATTATGGTCGACCCGACTTATTCATAACTTTTACATGCAATCCGAAATGGGATGATATTAAGAATCATTTATATCCTGGACAATCAGCTACTGATAGGCATGACATTACTGCAAGAGTGTTTAGACGAAAGCTACAGTCTCTAATGGATTTCATTGTAAAACATAAAGTTTACAGAGATGTACAATGTTTCATGTATTCTGTGGAATGGCAAAAAAGAGGCTTGCCTCATGCGCATATTTTGATTTGGTTAAAACAAAAACTAACCACAGATAAAATTGATGATATTATATGTGCTGAAATTCCAGATATAAATGAAGATCCCGAATTACATGCTACTGTAACCAAAAACATGATTCATGGACCGTGTGGTACGTTAAATCAAAATTCTCCATGTATGGTTGATGGTAAATGTTCAAAAAATTACCCAAAGCAATTAATTGCTGAAACAATGACTGGAAATGATGGATATCCAATGTACCGTAGAAGATCACCAGAAGATAATGGAAAAACAGTCACTGTAAAAATAAATAATCAAGATGTGGAGATCGATAACCGTTGGATAGTTCCGTATTCCAAATTATTATCGAAAACATTTAACGCACATATAAATGTTGAATATTGTAACTCCGTAAAATCCATCAAATACATATGCAAATATATCAATAAAGGAAGTGACATGGCAGTATTTGGAGTTGCAAATCAAAATGATGAAATTACTAATTACCAAATGGGAAGATACATTAGTAGTAACGAAGCAGTTTGGAGGATATTATCATTTCCGATTCATGATCGCCATCCAGCTGTTATTCATTTGTCAGTCCATTTAGAAAATGGACAACGTGTTTATTTCGATGAAAATACTGCTCAACAAATGGCTGAACGACCACCAGCAACAACACTAACTGCATTTTTCAACTTATGTGAAACAGATTCATTTGCAAGAACATTGCTTTATTCAAATGAGCCTAAATATTATACTTGGAATGCATCATCAAACTCATGGGTACGAAGGCAACGAGGAATACCTGTAGATGGATATCCTGGTGTTCATTTGGGTGATGCAATCGGACGACTTTACACTGTGCATCCAAGTCAAGCGGAATGTTTCTATTTACGTTTACTCTTAGTTAATATTCCCGGCCCAAGATCATTCCAAAGTTTGAAACGAGTTAATGGTAATCTTTGTTATACTTATCGGCAAGCATGCGAAGAATTGAATTTGCTTGAAAATGACAATCATTGGAATGCAACTCTTATGGATGCATGTGCAACAAGTTCTCCACACCAAATAAGAACACTATTTGCCATCATTATTGCTACATGTTTCCCAGCAAACCCAATAGAAATGTGGAGAAGTTACCGAGAATACATGACAGAAGATATTCTAAATCAAGTACGTCGCATTACTGCAAATCCAAATTTGAATTACACAGATGAATTATATAATGAGGCATTAATTAAAATCGGAGACTTTTGCCTGATGACTGCAAATAAAACTCTGAGTGAGTTAGGTATGATCGCACCCAATCGTCCGATGCATGATGCATACAATGCAGAATTAAGACGTGAAAAAGAATATGATCGAAATGAGCTGAACACATTTGTAACCACAAACCTACCAAAATTAAACACAGAACAAAGGCAGGCATATGACACAATTATAGACAATGTTGCAAATGAAAGAGGAGGAATATTCTTCTTAGATGCACCAGGTGGGACTGGAAAAACGTTTTTGTTGTCGTTAATTTTGGCCACCATTCGATCACAGAATAATATTGCATTGGCTTTGGCATCATCTGGAATAGCGGCAACTTTATTGGATGGCGGTCGCACTGCCCATTCTGCATTAAAGTTACCATTAAATATGCAAGTAAATGAAGAACCAACTTGCAATATTTCTAAAAATTCTGGAATGGGAAAGGTTTTACAAACATGTAAAATTATTGTATGGGATGAATGTACGATGGCTCATAAAAAATCACTGGAAGCCTTAAATAGAACACTGAAAGATTTGCGAAATAACACAAACATATTTGGTGCTGCACTAATTCTATTGGCCGGTGATTTTCGACAAACTTTGCCTGTTATTCCCAAATCAACAGCAGCTGATGAATTGAGAGCATGCCTTAAATCTTCTAATCTGTGGAGATATGTTCAAAAACTCACATTAACTACCAATGTTCGTGTGCAGTTACAGAATGATCCAACAGCTGCTGAATTTTCCGAACATTTGTTGCAAATTGGAAATGGACGAAAGCCAATTGAGAAGAATACAGGCATGATCACACTTCCAACTAATTTTTGTACCGTAACAGTATCAAGAGTACAATTAGTGCAAAATGTATTCCCAAATATTGCACAAAACTATCGAAATCAAGATTGGCTAAGCGAGAGAGCTATATTAGCTGCCAAAAATGTCGATGTCAATGAAATCAATGCCAGTATTTTGACTCAAATTCCAGGTGAAGTTGTGACCTATAAATCAATTGATTCAATCACTAATCCCGACGATGTAGTGAATTATCCCATTGAATTTTTGAACTCACTTGATTTGCCTGGCTTGCCACCACATCGTTTGCAATTGAAAGTCGGCGCAGTGATCATTATGTTACGAAATATCAATCAGCCGAAACTATGCAATGGGACAAGATTAGCAGTGAAACGGACAATGAATAATGTAATTGAAGCAACAATTTTGCAAGGCAAATTTAAAGGTGAAGATGTTTTGATTCCGCGTATTCCAATGATTCCAACAGATTTGCCTTTTGATTGTAAACGAATTCAATTTCCCATTCGCCTTGCTTTTGCTATTACTATCAATAAGTCTCAAGGTCAAACACTTCAATTGTGTGGAATTGACCTAACTTATTCATGCTTTGGACATGGACAACTGTATGTAGGATGTTCGCGAGTAGGGAAACCATCGTTACTATATATTTATACACCACATGAAAATAAAACCAAAAATGTTGTGTATCAGAAGGCGTTAGAATAAGTTTTTAGTTTACAATCATTGTAATCATTGTTATTAGAATAAGTCACAAAATAGTGGCCGAACATGAATTAAATGACAAAAAAAAGGAAAAAACCAAGAACACCTTTCATTTCTATTTTTCTTTCACCCAGCGAAGCGGGTGAGGGTCCGCTAGTATAATATAATATATATTGGCGCTTACACATATGTTAGTGTCTGGCCGAGCTTCTCCTCCGACTTGTGGCGTGCGCCTTGATGTTGTTACACAAAGCGGAGGGACCTACAGTTTTACGCCGACTCCGAACGGCGATTGTATTTTTATGAGAAGCTGTTTTTCATGGCAGAAATACACTCGGAGGTTTGCCATTGCCTGCCGAGGGACGACCGCTGTTAAGAAAAAACCTTTTCTATATTTTTTGCGATGTTGCTTTGGCCAGGGCTTGAATCCAGGTGCTGAGGAGTGAAAGCGCGCACTGCTTACCACTACACCACAGCGGCCGACGTAATATACATATGTTTAAAATCGATTGGAGTGATTATTCTCTCATTTCGTTTTTGTTTGGTGAACCCGTATGGTCTAATGGTCCCAATGGCTTCAAACTATCCTTAATCTTATTCATTCCATTAAAAGTAAACTCTTTATTACAATAAAACTTTAAAATTAGTTATTTCCTTTCCCCTGCAGATTCACAAGTGGTCGCATACCTATTGGGGTTTGCCGAGGTGGGTCCTTTTCTTGCAAAACTACCACATAGTATTGCCGCGAAAGCATCACCGCATTCATCATGTTGCGCCGCATGAGACATACTTTTGCATTACCACTGGCTGGTTGAATTGGCCACTGGAGAAAATAAGGTATACTTTTTTAAAGGACATATAGTAATTAAATAATACATAACCTAATTTTAATTTTATGTAATTATTTTTCTAAGATTCTGGCCCACATTAGAAGCTGTAATTGAGTACTCAACAGGCTGCAAGGCACGCGATGATGACCTAAAGTGGGCCAAAAAGATGACATAACTGTGTTGGCGGATAGTGCAAAATCCTAAATTATATCCTATGGACATGTATGTACGTGTAAATGTATGCACATTTACCAGCATTGGTATTGTGAGAGTTTTTCAATCACACACACGAAAATTTATTGAAATCTTATGAGCATTTTTATTAAAACGCTGAATGTACAAATGCTGAATACAGGCATACTGACTACAAGACACTAGTTTGCCTGTATTAATTAGAATTTTTTAAGATTATCTACCGCGTAATCGACACTCACCTAGCCATACATACTACACTATACATACATGCATACATGTACATATGTATGTAGTTAATGGAGAAAACAAACAAATTGCAATAACATCAAATATCACAAGCAATTAATTTAAGTGAACACTATAAGTGAATTAGGAGGCTTTTTTTTACAAATATACACCACATAGCGCATAATTAATTAGACGAAGAGATCATTTTTACATATATGTACATATATTATTAAGCTGCTTAAGAACTAATGATCAATTGTTAAAAAATATCGGTGCAAATAAATAGTCAAATCAAATGCCGACTTTAAGGACTGTCCGAAAAATCTAAACACATAGTGCATTTGTTGTTTTTATTTGTTTATCTTTTTGAATCAATCCGATTTTTATATGAATTAAGTGTTTAGTTATTTTAAATATATATGTATTTGTTTTATTAAATGGTTAGTTCTGTAACGATATGGAATGTCAAAGGAAATCGGTCAAGTTTTTATGTAAAATTTTGAAAAATTTTTTAGAATTGCATTGAAAGTGTCATTATTTTGACCAAATTTTGTTTCCAGATCTTTTTAGGTTATAGTCTAAGAGCCCAACAAACTAAACCGAGTAGAAGTAGAGTAGGGGTCCCAAAGACCATACATATATTTGGTGTCTTCATGCATGAGGGAACACGAAATGGGCCTGCTGCCTCGCCTAAGGCCAGTCAGAGCCCAAAAAAAAAATTTTTTTTGGGGGATTCGAGTATGTCAGGAGTCCCATATTCTGATTGTTCCTTGAGACAGGACAGGGATTGGGCAATACGATTAGGTAGTGCTGCAAGCCCCCCCTAATTATCCGTATCAGTTGCTGCAGCGAGATAAGCGACGCCTCGCCTGTAGGATCCGAGTAGCATCGAGGTCCTCAAAAAACCAATGCTCATCTGAAAGAGCATCAAATTCTGTGCAAGAACAATCACCGCTGCATTTTCCAAACAGTGGTGGACATGGCTGCTGCAGCGTTTGAAAGTCGCCCTTCTTGTCCAGTCATTATACACTTTTGACCTCGCAAAAATTAATTCTCGAATTTTTTCTGGATCTTATGCCCTCGGGGGGATCAGTCTCCGTGTAAATGGCAAGTGGCGACCAAATCCAGCGATTGCGCATGTCCGAATTTTGTTTTTTTTTCGAAAAAATGGTTTTCATTGAATAACGTGGCCATTTTTAATTTTTAAGAAAACTCATAAGAACAAAAGTTGTATGAAATTCCATTCTATACAAGTTTGGTCCTAATAATTATACCCGAGCGCACTTGTGCACAAGGGTATATTAATTTTGTTCACATAACGGTTGTTTGTAACAGCCAAAACGAATCGAGATAGATATAGACAAATGTATACATAAATGATCAGGATGAAAAAAGAAACCGATTAAGCCATGTCTGTCCGTCTGTCCGTGTACACGATAACTCGAGCAAAAATTGAGATATCTCAACGAAATTTGGTATGTAGGTTTCCCTTAATCCAAGGTAGGTTGGTATTGAAAATGGGCGAAATCGGACTTTAACCACGCCCACTTCCCATATAACGGTAATTTCCAGAAATACGAAAACTA